TTTGTGAAATAGATTTAATGGTAATAATCAATTAATAAATTTTTATCATTCTTTAACTTCTCGAAGAAAAAGTTCAAATTTGATTTGCTAATTTTAAGTTTTCTCCATTTTTCAAGTAATTCAATTTCAATTCAATTTTTGTCATTCGATGTAATTAGATAAGAACTCTAATTTGTCAATTTTGCGCGACAATCGGTCAAGCCGTTTCCTTGGAATTAGCAGTAAAGTGTAAAATCTTACATCAACGTTTTAGCCTAAAATCTTGAACTAAATTCAAAAATTGTTCGAAATAATGGATGGGAATTACGTTGATTAATTTTTAATAGTAATTGGCCGGGCCGTTTTTTCATAAATATATGTAGAGAATTTTTTTTGACGGTTTTCTTAAAACTTTGTATTACGATAGGTTTCGTAGTAAATTTAGTATAACATACTAAAATAATATAGGCCTACGGCTAAATTTAAAAAATTCATAAAAGTTTGGATTTGCGCCTCGCGCCTAATCGATTCTAATCAAAATCTATTCCTTTCGTGCATATGTAGATTCCTTCTGATGCATATTGTAGGTAGCTACTGATCACAGTTGGCGTCCACATTCTACAAATATACATTTAGAACCCATTTTTTTATATATTAAACAAATTAATTTAATTTATACAATTACAGATATTATATTTTATATATAATATACCATTTAACAACTGATTCGTTTAATCTGATATATATATATATATATATATATATATATATATATATATATATATATATATATATACATATACACACTTATGTATAATATTTATATCATTTGTGGGTACGATATTAAACGGGAGTTTTGTGCCATGTCTCCCTCGAAATCAAATGCAGACATGTTTTGGGGCTCTGATGGGATTCTAATGTGAAACGAGCCCTAGGGCTCGTTACAAGTTCCTCTGTCAAAGGAGAGAAGAGAATGTAAACAAATCAAGTGAATTGAATACGTTTATAATTATTTGGGAGTATTCAAACAAATGTGTCACTCAAATTGACTTTTTGGGGAGAGATCAGATGGAGATGAACATATCCATCCAGATCTCTAAATAATATTTAAATGATAATTGAAACATGGAACGGATCAGAGATGAGGACTGTAAATATTGCTTCGGGGTGAAATGGACTGGCCAAGGTAGGAAATGGAGCAGTGGGATAGGAAAGGACTCTACTAACAAGAGAACAGTAGATCGGATTTATCTTGGTAAGGAATGGAATGTCGAAAATCAGAGATAGGGACGATATTAAGGAAATTAACGAAATATGCCAGAAGAAAAAAATAATACAGTAATAAACAAATTTGTATATAGCTTAACAAATAAATATTGCGATTTATAACCTATTATCAAAATAATTTTTTAGGTACTTACTACTATGAACCTCATCCTTGTATCTTGTTGTAAGTCAAAGTTACAGATAATTTATTTGTAGGGCTCGCCCGTAGGTAAGCGGTTAAGAGCGACGGGACTTGTTTCAGAGGTCCCCCGGTTCGATACTCACTTCGAGCAGCCTGTTGTCAGGCAGAAGTGACAACGATTTTCACTTGGAAATATAGATAGCAATATGTTTGCAAGTGAAAATAGCCCTCACCCGGCATTGCTGCACCAATAAAATGTCAGCCCTATTAGATTAATTCTAATAACAAAAAATCATCAAATATGGATGGATTAACTATTGGGTTACCATTTAAAAAATACGAAGTAAGGAGAAGTTTCAACCCAACAGCTCATAGGACGCAAGGTTCTGATTGCTGTTCAAAAATAATATAAAAAAAAATTATTTGTCAACAAATTTGTCAACAACGATTCATTACTATTAACTGAATAGTAGATTGGACATCGAAACAAAACATATTAAATTTGTCATGTCATAATATTTATTTTTGTAAAAAAGTATTTTATATTACAATATTTACATAAAGATATAATCAAAGACAATATAATTAAAGATAATTACAAATAATCGTATCTCCACAATTTCAAAGCTTACAAGCTGTTTTTTTATAATAAATGAATTTTTAGCGCATTCGTGGTTATTTTGTGTCATCAACGGCGATTTTAGAGTGTTTGGAATTGCTGAGAAGTCTTCTTTTTGCAAATATTACCACGGACTCCCTGTCTACTTATAAACCATATAGAACATTATAATCATGTTTATGAACGGGTATAAATTTCGTATGCACCATCTCGTTATTACACCGTCGATAATGCGTTTATTATTGGGCAAAATTTTAATTATGCATTTACGGGGTGCATAGGGGGCTTCTATGTATATTTTCATGCAAACTGCATTCGAGATAGTGCAGGTTGTGCTTTATGCGAAATCGAAGCGAATGAAATTATATAGTATGAATATATAATATATATATATATATATATATATATAT